ATCACATCAAAATGGACCGTTGTCATCTCAATTACACCAACAAAGCGGTTTACAACTTCAAAATGATTTGGCCTTTCCTCGACTACAAAATACCAAAGATTTAATGTTATCACAATTAAACGCTCAAAATGTATTAATGTCTCCACATATACAGAATTCAACACCTTTAACACCGCAAACTCAATCGCGGATTCAAATTCTGTCACAATCATATTTTCATTCTCAATCTCAAGAAGCCGTTGCACAAGCAAATCAGAATCCGCATTCATCACAAACACTTTCTTCGCAACCACAATCTCAACTTATTCCACAATACTTTCCGTACTCGCGGTCACGGCCTCCACCACAGGATATATCAAATGGGTCACCACAACAGATGAATTTGCAGTCACAGCAAGATTATTCAAACCAGCAAATTCCTCAAGTGGACCAGTCGCAAACATTGCCCTATTCACAACAACTTGCACAGCCCATTCCTCAAGTGCAATTACCACAATCGTTACGTATTCAACCAAAGATATCCACTTTCCAGTTTATGGATGGAGATATGACAGATCAAAAACAAATATTGTCTCCTCAAAAGAATACAATTGGACTTGATAATGCACCAAGAATTGAGAATACAAATACTTATGATAATGTGACTAGTTTTACAAATATCAACTCTAGGATTGAGACACCCGCTCATTACAATCCAACAGCAGTGAATAGAATCTTCACTTCTGAAATTCAGCCTGTCAACCAAATAAATAACACCAATTCATTTAATACTAACAATTTTAATAATTCCACCATCTTTCAAGCTGTTCCTGAACGTATTAACTCGTCTTTACCTTCACCTCCTCAACCTCATGAAGTACCACCGCCAATGAATTGGATAAATCAACATCAAAGTCTCCAACAGCAACATGCTCATACTATGGCAATATATGACAATAATATGAATATAAATTGATATATAATTCCATTAAGTTTATTTTTGTGTCTTTACGGGCAAATTTAATAAATAATATTATTGGATATATAAAAAAAAAAGACCTATTGCGAAAAAAAAAAAAGGTTATTGTTATTAAGGTTGCCTGCCGTCGAAGTTGTAATTTTTTTGCCATAATAGATGTAAGAGTTGTAATAAGGTGTAATGGGTATAATGGTTGTATTGGTCGTAACGGGTATATATGATCTGATTATGCTAATAAGTAATTACGTGACGCAGTCACGCTAAATCAGACGTTAGCTATAGATTTATCATGAAATTAAAAAAATCAAGAATGTACGTGAACAGATACACATATAGGTTGACATATAGATTGCCAAATAACCATGAGCATATCCAAATACATACTATACATTAAAGAACTTGTCTTGTTAAAAGTATTCTGATTGACTTGCTTATGCAAGTACATAAACATGAGTACTTTCAAAAGAAAATTATGTTTTGATCTTTTGAGCTTATAACTTAACGGACTCAACCTTGAAAAATCTGATTGTAGAATCGATTTTCGTTCACATGTACCGTTATTTGTGTTATCTGTGTTAAATCTGGTAAGCTATTATATATGTCTGTATATGTCTGTAAGGACTCGCAAGACATAGTTATTTATGTTTTTTACAACAATTACAATCTATTACGGTATTTACAACTATTACGGAATTATGACAATTATAACCATTACGACATTATGACAATTGTAACCATTACGACATATGAGTATTTAGTTGTAAATAATCGATATGCAATAGTAACTATGCTATTGTTTAGTAAGGGCAATCACATTTTTTTGAGTAGAATCACGCTAAATACTATAATAATTCGACCAAAGCTTTCCACCTTTCGCGTTTCTCTCATTATTATATTTAAATATGATATAGATAATCATTGTCCAGAGCGTAGCTGAGAACTCAAATTTTGAATTTCTGTCAGTTCTTCATATCATCAGTTTCACGTAATTTACAATAGTTTTTTGCTTCAGATTAATAATGTTTCCATTTTTTAGTATACTTGACATTTTTTTTCAAAGTTTGAACTTAAAGATCACGTTTTTACAACGAATTATGGACTTATCGTTACACAACATGTTACTATTAATAACTAAAATACTAAAATATCTGGAAATTCTGTGTTCAAAGCACAACATTCTAATTCTAGAAATCTATATATTCGGGAATTACTTTTGAATATCGCAAATGGTCAGATTATTTCTGAGATAATTCTATTCAAATTAAGTTTAATATTGTAGTTAACAAAGATATCTTAGAAACGATCTAACCATTCATGGTGTTCAAATTCAAATACAGTATTGGCGTTTGAACTTTGAAATTTCCGCATGTACATGTAGTGTAACCATGTGATAAAGGATCGGCAAAACTTGGCACAGAATTTTTGTTCTTAAAATGTACC